ATTCCAGAGTCCGGTCAGATCTCACAACGGGCAGAATACTTTGATATATCTCTTGCTGTATACAAGTTAATATTATTAGCCATAAATCAGGAGCACAAGCTCGCAAACTAGGCCGTCCGCACCTTATGAACTGGTGTTCCTGCTTTTATCAAATTGAGTTTGTGATATCCTTAACCCCTTAAATATCTAGCGTTATGTTTTGCTACCATCCCAATGTAGCTCCTAAAGACCTTAGAGCAGCATGAAACACTGTGTTTCTCTAGCTCTTGAAGTTCTCTATAGCCTTGTAGTCCTTAATAGAACAGCTCAGTCATTTTCAGAGTAGACTGTTGTTGATCCCAAAGACATTAAGGAATGAATCAATCGCTTTGAAATGGTTTCATTAAATGCTAATAATGTTACTAAGGCCAGGAAGTAGGCATAACATTCAAGAGTAATTTAATTGCAGGCTTACCTGTTTCTCCCGTACAGGCGTCATTGTACGCTTAAGGTCCTCTGTGTACGAATCACTGCATGTTCAGTCCCAGACGTCCTCACTTTAAAGTAACTTTCTGTCCAACGCATCAATTTCTACTAAATCTGAAGGTGGATAGCTCAGTGAAACAGAAAAATCACCCAGGGCAGGTTCACTGCGTCTTTAACCAGAGATTAAAAGAAAAATCCACTTCTGGCTCGTAGCTGAAAATGCAGTTTATTCTTAGTTATGCAGATTACAAACCAAAAAACTAACATATTCCTTTTTGCAGTCAGGCCAGCCTCCCCCTTCATACTCGGGATCTTTTACCATTTAAGGGCAATGCTACATCTGTACAAACTAAGAGCAGAGTTTTTGTAACATACAAAGCTACAGACGGACTCACACAAAGGATTCTTGATGTAAAATAAATAAACTCTTCAAATTGCTCTCGCTTTGCTCCCTGACACTGACGGGATAAGCTACTTCCCCTCACTTCTGAAGCCATATATATGAGAATAGGATTCTGGGTTCTCACTGCATAGTCTGTTTTCCATCAAAACGTTTCCTTATTTTTGGAAGGGTTTCATCAGAAGCGTAAAACGCGCACTCACTCGCAGGAGTGTATTGGGGGACATTAAACACACCTTAACCCTGGTGTGGCTGAAATAGTCTGTAACAATAATTAGATGTAAGCAAACAGTGGTGTTTTTGGAGGTGAGCAGGTTAAAAAAATATGCAAAATAACACTGTGGATTTTTTTTCCTTTCTATAACAATTACATATGTGCACAGATCGTGGGAGGTATGTATATTCTTGGTGATCTGCAGAATATATATATATATATATATATATATATATTGAACAAAATTATAAATGTAACACTTTTGTTTTTGCCCCCATTTTTTATGAGCTGGACTCAAATATCTAAGACTTTTTCTATGTACACAAAAGGCCTATTGATCTTAAATATTGTTCACAAATTTGTCTAAATCTGTGTTAATCCACCACCTCACAGGTGTGGCATATCAAGATGCTGATTAGACAGCAAGATTATTGCACAGGTGTGCCTTAGACTGGCCACAATAAAAGGCCACTCTAAAATGTGCAGTTTTATCACACAGCACAATGCCACAGATGTCGCAAGTTTTGAGGGAGCATGCAATTGGCATGCTGACTGCAGGAATATCCACCAGAGCTGTTGCCCATGAATTGAATGTTAATTTCTCTACCATAAGCCGTCTCCAAAGGCGTTTCAGAGAATTTGGCAGTACATCCAACCGGTCTCACAGCCACAGACCACGTGTAACCATACCAGCCCAGGACTTCCACATCCACTGTACATTGCAGATGGCAGACAGCGTGTCTGGCGTCGTGTGGGTGAGTGGTTTGCTGATGTCAACGTTGTGGATCAGGTGGCCCATGATGGTGGTGGGGTTATGGTATGGGCAGGCGTATGTTATGGACAATGAACACAGGTGCATTTTATTGATGGCATTTTGAATGCACAGAGATACCATGACGAGATCCTGAGGCCCATTGTTGTGCCATTCATCCACGACCATCACCTCATGTTGCACCATGATAATGCACAGCACCATGTTGCAAGGATCTGTACACAATTCCTGGAAGCTGAAAACATCCCAGCTCTTGCATGGCCACTGGACATGTCACCCATTGAGCATGTTTGGGATGCTCTGGATTGGCGTATACGACAGTGTGTTCCAGGTCCTGCCAATATCCAAAAACTTTGCACAGCCATTGAAGAGGAGTGGACCAACATTCCACAGGCCACAATCAACAACCTGATCAATTCTGTGCGAAGGAGATGTGTTGCACTGCATGAGGCAAATGGTGATCACACCAGATACTGACTGGTTTTCAGACCCCTCCAGACCCACTCAATACAGTAAAACTGAACATTTTAGGGTGGCCTTTTATTGTGGCCAGCCTATGGCACACCTGTGCAATAATCATGCTGTCTAATCAGCATCTTGATATGCCACACGTGTGAGGTGGTGGATTATCTTGGCAAAGGAGAAGTGCTCACTAACACAGATTTAGACAGATTTGTGAACAATATTTGTGAGAAATAGGCCTTTTGTGTTCAGTTCATGAAAAATGGGGGCAAAAACAAAAGTGTTGTGTTTATAATTTTGATCAGTATGTGTGTGTGTGTGTATGTATGTATGTATGTATGTGTTTATATATATATATTTTTTTTTTTTAATTATTTTTTATTTATTTATTTTTTTAAATTTTATTTTTAAAAACAATTTTCCCATTGTAAAAGTTAACGTGGAACTGACATTTTTCTGGAAGTAGTCATTTCTTGTTCCCCCACTCCAGTAAATAGTGTTGACGTGCTGGGGTGTGTAATACAGGGCAAGTAAGTAAAAAAAAACACACCTTCACAGCACTTACATGGTAATGTATTTCCTCCATAATCCTCTGGACACCCTCACGTATGCTCTGAGATTTGTAGAGAAGGGTCTTATGCGAACATGCGCACTTGGCCATTTCGTCCAGTGTACCATATATGCCCATGCGCCTGCACACACAGCACTGTGGGGGTTAAATTTGTTTGCACTGTATCAAATGTAAATTGTGAAGTAAAAACTGAGAATAATAAAAATAATTAGTACTACCTATCGCTAACGTGTAGTTTTTAGTTAAGTATAAATCGATGTGACAGTTCTGCTCTAGGTAGAGAAAACTATGTCCTGCTCATCGATCAGAATACCAGGTGTATGCAGACCAGACTAAAGAAGGCAAGCAGATGATAAAATAGTTGTCACAATTGTCACACTTGTTTTTAACAATCAGAGAAAATAAAACTTAACAGTGTATTCTTTTAAATGTCCAACTAAACTGAACTTACAGAATATGAACTTTATTAATGACGCACAAAATACCAAGTTTTTCCTACTGATAGACTGATGTATACACAGTCAGTCAACGTTTCGGATTTTTAAAATTATTTACAAGGTGCAGATCGAAACCACCACTGACACAGAATGTGAATTAGAACCCGAATAGAAGGGAAAGGAAAGGCAGTTTTACAAAACATTAGGGTGAGCCAGGGTACATCTATCACACTCCCTGTGCACAGCTACAATTACGAATGGACGTGCCCAGCCCCTGCGGATTCCATCCTGATGTTATATTTCCCAATGTGTTCACATTTAATGTGAGCGATTATCGCCTTCTTCAAACGGCAACAGGAAGATGAGAGAAGCCTCGAGAAAAAACAACATGGCAGGAAGTATCTAAGGCTTGGTAGGTTGTACCAGGCCTTTATTTCTGGCTAAGTGAAGGAAATGCACTTACACCAACAGGACTTCAGGCACTATTGTAAGCCGGCCACTTACCCGCTATAGTCAAATGGTTATAGCCATAAAGGTCCGTTATTTTACGATATGTTACCTAAAGGCACGGCTGCATGGTGGCATGACTGAAACCATAGGTATAAATGTAATCCCCCCACACACACACACACAAACACACAAAAATAAATTAATTACTAAGTACATTTTTACCAAACTATGGAGTAATAAACTGTTGGTCCATTGAAATTTGAAATGAATATACTGGTTAAAGAAACTCAGGAAGAGGTTGAAATTAAGCTTTTTATTGATATAACGTTGTTTAATGTTAGAGTATTTATTATCATAGATATAAATAGACAAAATGAACCAAATAGTAACAGACTGACTCTTTTTATAGTCTACGGGCTGTAAATCCATGTGATTCACTCTTCTCCTAAAAACCACCCACATTTCATAAAAAGACATAAATATGATAACCTCTTTCTTTTACAAGAAGACAGATAAGCCAGCTTAAAACATGCAGACTAAATGCACTAATAAATAATTTATTTTATTATTTCAGAATCTGGCTGCAAGTTTACGGTTATGTTTCATTTGATTGTTAAAAACATTCTTCACACATCCATGTGTATCATCAAACACAGGGTATTCTCTACAGAAAAATAGCTTCCGGCAAAAAAGCTAATTACACCCGGCCTAAAATATATACCATTGGTGGAATTTAGTGAATTTTAAAATAATTATAAAATATATGTACCATTGAGGAAAAGTACAATAATCTGAGTAGGATTTATACGGGGCCGGTCATCAGGCAGGGGTGAGCAGAAAAAAAAAGGGTGATCCAGGTGGTTTTAAAGAGTTACTCCAAGCACCATAACAACGTCAGTTATTTGAAGTGGTTACAGTGCGTTGTGCCTTATGAACCTCATTTCGCTATGAAACACTGCACATACACTGGCCATATAGCAGACATACTGCGGCCATGCAGTGCCCATACAGCAGCCATACAGTACCCATATAACAGCTATATAGCAGCCATACTGTGCCCATACAGCTGGACATACAGCAGCCATACAGTGCCCATATAACAGCCATATAGCGGGGGCGTGGCTGGACGCGGAGAAAGATGGACGCTTGAGTCTTTAGCTCTGCACCACGAGCTAGGCGAAACTAAATAATTGTGACATTCCTGCAGGAATCAAAGTGCTGTTTCCGAGATGTCACAGTCCAAAACCCGACGACACCAAGACATACCCGACAAACTGAACTTTTTCTCACAGAAAAAAGTAGCAGCCCTGGCAAGGCAATCCGCGGCCGCGGGCCCACAAGATGGCGCCAAGCTCTCTGGAGGCAGAAGCCCGAGATCAGAGGCAGACTCACCACAAGACGGAGAGCCACTCACAACTACTCTCCTGAAACAAGCCATGGACGAACAATCCCAAAGGCTGATTTCGATCTGGCAATCTAGTGTCGCAGAACTGAAGCGCGACTTACAAGACATCGGGTCCCGCACAACGCATGTGGAGGACCTGGTTGATGCGCACAATGCATCCACAGAGCAAATCAAATCTCTTACCACCCAACTGCAACAATGAGAGGGAAAGATCATGGACCTCGAAGATAGATCCAGGAGGAGCAATATTAGGCTGAGGGGCATACCGGAGACTGTCTTCCAGGCAGATCTCCCTAGCTATGTACACGGCTTCTTTAAGATCCTGACCCCCAAAGTCCATACAGACATGTTGCTACTAGACCGCCTACACAGGGTTCCGAAGCCCAAGCAGATTGCTGCATCCTTACCACGAGATGTGCTGCTGAAGGCTCACTATTTCCACGTGAAAGACCTACTAATGAAGAGGAGCAGAACCGTTAAGGACCTTCCTGCCGAATACTCCTGCATCAAGATGTTCTCTGATCTCTCTCTCTGCAGCCACCCTGCGACAACGAAAGGCCTTCCAAAGGGTGACAGAGACCTTCCGCGCAAACCGCATCCTGTACCGCTGGGGCTTCCCTATCCGCCTCATAGTCTCCAGAAATGGGACCACCACGGTCATTCATACGGTGGAAGATGGACTTAGTCTCTGTAGCGGAGATGCAATACTCCCCAGGTTATCTCCGCTTATAGTCCAAGTGAGGCTCAGGAACAAGTAAATAGTAAATCCACAGGCAAGGTTTCCAGCAGGTAAAATAACAGCAATATCCCAACAGCAATCCCAATAACTGGACGACACACAGTTTCAGGAGCAGAACTGAAATCTTTTAATCCACACTGTCCTTTTAAAGCATGCTACCATGCAAGGGAGGGATTTACAATCATTAGTACCGTAGCCAATCCTGTCCTGGTAACCTCCCACACATCTCCTCCCCTCAGCCTGCATCATAATCCCCTTATCCAGTCTAGCAATTCCCCCCGTTTCTGGATGTACCCCTAAACGTAGGGGTACCCCTTTAAATCCTACATCCCCTGATAGCCCTGATCTGGGTGAACAACATATCCAAAAATCACCCAGATCAGACCAGGGGTTCGGGAAATGTATGGAGGGAATAAAATGACCGACCGCACTGACTGAGATAGCCGAATGCGGTTCCATGCGAATGGGCCCTGCGGTCGGTCCTGGAATAAGGGAACAAATTGCACGAAAGCCTCTAGCTATAGAGGCTAGGGAGGGTTCGCCTGAATCCTCTCGTTCGGTTCTTTCTATCTACCGAACGAGGGGCCGTTCAGTAGTTAGGAACCGAACGGACCGGGCTTGTGGAGGATTCAGCGGTGTTCGCCTAGTCGAGTGTCCGATTTGAGTTCCAGACACTCAACGGCAAAACACCGCTGTTCGTTTGTCGAATGGCGGCCACCCCCGAGAACAAAGGACGGCTACTTCCCTTGTCAATTACCCGTTCGCAACAATGTTGCAAAGGGTAATTGAGAACACACTTCACACAGGGGAGGTCTGACTGTTCGGTAGTTTCATTCGAACAAACCAAGGGAATGAAACTACCTTACATTCAGACGAATCCAATACATTTACACATATAACTTAGCTATTTCACACGAATACATTCCCTTACTGCAAAGACATTTACCAAATAAACGAATACAGTTTAAACATAATGTAAGTCCCAGGGCAGCTCGTGGCCCTCCGCTACAGTCTCCTACGCCAATTGAACATAACAGCCAAATAGCGGCCATACTCTGCCCATAAAGCGGGTCATACAGCGGGACATACAGTAGCTATGGTGTTTGGAGTAAACCTTTACATCAGATCCCCCAGATAGGGAAATAGAGCTGAGTGTGATATATAAATATATAAAGAAAAGAAAATTGCTCTTGCACTCATGCTAAAGTCCCTTAGAAACCGGGTGCTCGCATACCCTGGCTAGTAGTATCCATCCATGTAAGCACGTATCCACACTCTTGTGTATTTAAAAGTCCAAAATTTATTGTTATAAGGTTTAAAAATGATCAACGTTTCAGTCCTGCATAGAGGACTTTCATCAGGATCAAAGTACGAACAGTATGCAGGACTGAAACGTTGATCGTTTTTAAACCTTATAACAATAAATTTTGGACTTTTAAATACACGAGAGTGCTGATACCTGCTTACATGGATATATACATACACAGGTGTAATCCAAAGACGTAGCGTTCAAGAAAAACTGAATTAAGATAAAAATACAATTTGTCAATGCCACCGGCAGAGTTTCTTACTCAAAGCTTCCTGAGTAACTCAACACCTCACCTGAAAACTAACTTCAACTCCTCCTAGTGATCTTGCAAGGACTGAACAATATGTCATTTCCATTCCCTAATACTCCTTATAAATGAATAATATGGAGTTATGATTAGTATTTATGTTTTGGCTATTCTGATCTATGTGTTGGGATTCACTGTAGTGCAGGCAGTTGGTGAATCTCAGGATGCCCTGATAACAGCCAAAACGGATGATAGCCTATTTTGTCCTCTTGTATGATGTGTTCCTGTCATTGTGTGTTTATAAGCCATGTGAAGAGATACTAAATAAAGGATAGAAAGTAACAATAACAGACGTTCAGGCAAATTCGGAGAATCTGGCCAATCATATCTACTTACCTCTGACGCATATTGTGGTTAATTACAGCGAGGCTCACCTGTCTGCAAACAAGTTTTCTCATAAAATAAAATAATTCGTATTTAATTACGCTAAATCATTGTATTCCTTGTGTTAACACACATAGCCAAAGTACAATTAAAGTTAATCAAATAACAAGGATGTGAAGAATATTAATGGGGAAATGTTGATTCATATGTTTTGTTTGTGAGCCAACATTCCATGTCAATAAACTTTAGCAGAGACTAATTTAATTTATTCTTGTTAAACCTGAGATCAAAACCTTGCATTGCTCAATTTTCCTCAGTTACAAATAAATCAATTTTGCATGTTTCCGCTATACCCAGACAGTCAGGATCCAGAATTGCTGCACGGAGTGGCCCTAGCAGAACCGGCTGCAGGGAATGTTCCTAACAGTACCGGCTGCAGGGATTGACCTAAACAGTAACTGCTGCAGGGAGCATCCCTTCCAGAAACGGCTGTGGGGAATGGCCCTAACAGAACCGGCTGCAGGAAATGGCCCCAACAGGACCCGGCTGCGGGGAATGGCCCTAACAGGACCGGGCTGCAGGGAATTTTCCTAACAGTACTGGCTGCAGGGAGTGGCCTAAACAGTACCGGCTGCAGAAAATGCAGGGAATGGCCCTAACAGAACCCGCTGCAGGAAATGGCCCAAAAAGGACCCGGCTGCAGGGAATGGCCCTAACAGAACTGGCTGAAGGGAATGGCCCTAACAGAACCGACTGCAGGAAATGGCACCAACAGGACCCGGCTGCAGGGAATGGCCCTAACAGAACCAACTGCAAGAAGTGGCCCCAACAGGAACTGCTGCAGGGAATGGCCCTAACAGATCCCCTGCAGGAAATGGCCCCAACAGGACCCGGCTGCAGGGAATGGCCCTAACAGAACATGGTTGCAGGGAATAGCCCTAACAGAAGCGGCTGAAGGGTGTGGCCCTTACAGAACCGGTTGCAGGGAGTGACCCTAACAGAACATGTAAATGATCAGAGGCAGGTGCAGTTGGAACAAAGAAACAACTTAATTCACTAAAGGAATCATAAAAACGAATGGCACAGAATATAGGAAAAGAGGTTCGAATTACATTGCAAGGAGGCCAGGCTATGTATACAATATAATACAGATACACACACTCTACAGGTGTTTTGGAATGTCTCATAGATCAAACACTGGGATGAGAAATTTCCTTCTGGTGTCTCTGAAGGCAGGAATCAGCAATACACAATATAGTAAAGTTACATTTTGGTTATAACCAGGTTGGGCTTCGGTATCCCTATTAAGAGACAGAATCCAACTTTAATTACAGGTGTAATAGAATATATAAAACACATGGCTTCTCGGAGTCTGGGCTGCAGGGAGAAGATGGGACAGCTGGGTATCAGAGGTGTTAATACATAGTAAATATAATAAATTATTGCTTGTACGCCCTGTAGAGGACCACTGTCAGACCCTCCACCCCCCACCCCACCCAAAAAATCCCCCACAAAACAAGAACGTGAACAAACAGTGAGAACTAAAAAAAAAATGGAACTGGAACAGGAAACAAGGTGCAAAGCTCACAGAACAACCCGATCCAAACAGAACATAATGGAAAAATCATTCCTGGAATCGCTCAGTCACCATGCCAGCCAGGAGATTTATAAAGGGATGGATAATGTTTTATTAAACATATTATTTTTTATGAATGTACCCTGTAAACAGATCTGTGGTTTCCCACAATGTTAATAGTTTTGAAATATCCTTGTGATACTATTTTGTTAGATGGATTTATTGATGTGGCTGCGCTGGCAAATTAGATAGTTAGTATTTAAACCAGACTTCCAGGCCACTTATGACTTCTCACACCTTACAGAGTAGCTCTACTGGGGTCCCAGCTTCAAAGAGGAATTTAGGTTGTAAGCTCTGACCTCCCATACAATCAAATTAACCCCTTTTGAAATTGACAATAACAGCTCTACCAAGCAGCCAGTTCATATATGCACGAACATAACTTTCGTTTAACCAAACCGATCTGAGTGCTTTTTGGATATGTTGTGCGTTCAGATTGGAGCTACTTGTGAATATAATTGTTGTGCGGTTCCGATGCTGTTGTCATGTATTATTGTGATATGTAAAATTGTATGTACGTTTTCCTATTTTAGAGATAATTGGATTAGCTTAATTGGAGCTCAATCATCTCTCAAACACAATGGCTTTTGGGAAGGAAACCCCTGGGATTTTGCATTAGAAACCCCATGCTAGTGGCAGGGCCGGATTAACATAGGGCCTGATGGAGCTGCAGCTCCAGGCCCAGGCCCAGGCCAAAGCCCGTGGAATAGGCCCATTAAAAAAAAAACCCCCCCTTTTTTACACACTACTCTTAGGTTTGCCACCTGACTGGTATTTTAATGGCACAGATGTTATTTGAGGCTGCCTGGCCGTGCCGGTATTGCAGTAATACCGGCAATACAAATGCAGGTAATTTTCTCAGAATAAATGGAAATTACTCTGCAATACCAGCACCAGCCAGTAGGGGTCACTGTGTGTGGAGAGAGGCAGGGATAGGAAGTTACAGAATATCCCTGCCTCTCTCTACTACTCACTGATCCGTGGGGGAGCAGCTACACAGCCCAGAGAGTCCAGACAGCAGCTGTACAGCTCAGGTAAGTGAGGGATGGGGGGAAAGGTAGCAGGGACACATGGGGACACTGAGACACTAGGGGACACATGGGGACACTGCGACACTAGGGGACACATACACTAAGGGACACTGAGACACTAGGACACAGACACTGGGAGACCTGGGAACACTGAGACACTTGGGGAGACTGGAAAATATGGGGACACAGACACTAGGGGACACTGAGACACATGGGGACACAGACACTAGGGGACACTGAGACACTAGGACACATGGGGACATAGACACTGTGAGACCTGGGGACACAGACACTTGGGGACACTGGAAAACATGGGGACACTGAGACACTAGGGGACACATGGGGATGCTGACACACATGGGGACGCTATGAGACATAGGGACATTGGGAGACATTGGGACACGGAGACACTATGTTCCCCAGCCAGTGTCCCTTGTGTCTCAGTGCCCCCAAGTCTCCCAGTGTCTGTGTCCCATGTCTCTCAGTGTGCCTAGTGTCCCCATGTGTCCCAATGTCCCCATATCTATGTCCACAACTGTCCCCATGTCTCCCCAAGTGTCTTTCTCCCAGTCAGTGTCCCCTAGTCTCCCAGTATCCCCTAGTCTCCCAGTGTCTGTGTCCCTAGTGTCTTAGTGTCCCCAAATGTTTCAGTGTCTCCATGTCTCCCAGTGTCTGTGTTCTTAGTGTCTCAGTGTGCCTGGTGTCCCCATGTCTCCCAGTGTCCCTATATGTCCCAGTGTCCACATGTCTATGTCCACAACTGTCCCCATGTCTCCCAGTGTCCCCAAGTGTCTGTCTCCCAGCCAGTGTCCCCTAGTCTCCCAGTGTCTGTGTTCCCATGTCTGTGTCCCTAGTGTCTTAGTGTCCCCAAATGTTTCAGTGTCCCCATGTCTCCCAGTGTCTGTGTCCCTAGTGTCTCAGTGTCCCCATTTCTCCCAGTTTCCCTAAATGTCTCAGTGTCCCCATGTCTCCCAGTGTCCCCATGTCTCTGTGTCCCCGGGTCTCTCAGTGTCCCCATGTCTCTCAGTGTCCCCAGTATCCTAGTGACATTGGGACACTGGGAGAAATGGGGACACAGACACTGGGAGACTAGGGGACTGGGCGAGATGGGGACACTGACACTGTGATACATAGGGACACTGAGACACTGGGTGACTTGCGAGACTGAGACACTGGGAGACAGGAGACACTGGGAGCAATCCATCTATACAGCAGAATCAAACTGTGAGTAGTTTGTTGGTGATTTTACAGAATTTTCTCTGATGTCACTCCTTGTGATTTACACGCATAACTAATTAATTATACAAATGATTAAGGCTGGTATTTTTTTCCAAGAAAGGTAGCAACCTTAACTACTCTTCACATAGTCTTGCTTAAATGAGCACTATAGTGTCAGGAACACAATCATGTATTTCTTACCCTATTATGTTAAAACCACCATCCTGGCCCCTTCTTGCCTCCCTAAATATAGTAAAATATTACTTATTATTCAATTCTGCAGCTTCTGGCTCAGAAGTGGTGGTCTGAACAAATTACAATACTTCCCCATAGGATTGGCTGAGACTGTCAACTAGGCAGATCAGGGGCAGAGCCAGCACAAGTCCAACATAGCCCTGGCCAATCAGCATCTCCTCATAAAGATAAATTGAATCAATGCATCTCTATGAGGAAAGTTCAGTGTCTGCATGCAGAGGGTGGAGACACTGAATGGCAGTGCTACACACTAGGCAGTACTGCCCCAGGAAGCACCTCTAGCAGCCATCTAAGGAGCGGCCAGTGGAGTTATTTTCTCTGAAAAGACAGTGTTTACTGCAAAAAGCCTGAATGGAATGATTCTACTTACCAGAACAAATACAATAAGCTGTAGTTGTTCTGGTGACAATAGTGTCCCTTTAAGTTTGGAAGCTTAAGAGGGATGTATGGGAACAAAACTTGTGTGCACTGGCTGACATTAAAGTTAGTTTAGGTAATGCAGACGTTGGTCTCTCTAACGCTGTGGCATGTCCCCTTTCTTCTACACTCAGTACAGACACATTTTCTCTGTCTCAGACTATACCAGGAACTTCTGCCTGCTAGTAAGAAGGTAAGGAGATAAGTGGACCAGCGAGTGCTAGGGGACAGTCCTTAGAAAGAATGGAGTGAGCGCATCATTAGACGCATTTATGTCAAGCTCAAGGTGCTGCCTGCATAGTATGCCCTTAGTTGGACAGCCTGCAGGATTGGCAGGCAGCCTGACATGCATTCATGCCAGGCTGACCTTCCAATTCTTTGGACAAAATGCCCCCTTTTTGGGCATGTTCACCCCTTTTGGCAGGTCTTGTCACGTGATTCGCGCCAGTGGCACACCTTTTACCCCGCCCATTGATTTCCTGCTTCACTGGACACTGCTGTTAGGGGTTATGGATTTACTTGAAAGATGAAAGCATAAATTAGAGAGAAATTAGCATAAAGTATGTGTTTTCTTATAGCTGCATCCTATGAGTTTCCCTCGAGCACCATCTCCATCAGATACATGACGCTTGGGAGGTATGATTATTTTAGTGTTTTTTGTCGATAAGATTCCGTAATTAGGCCCATCCTAATTGTCAGCACCAGGCCCACTGTGCTCTTAATCCGGCCCTTGCTAGGGGCACTGCATAAAAATCCGAGTGTGGCCTAATAAAGTTCAGATTGCTGCTTTTACCCAATACGACTGATTGCGTCCATTAAATTGGGAAACTCTACACAAAGTAAATACTTTCACTATATTCAGCACATCTGGAATTAGGACTAGTGGAGGATTGAAGGAATAACAGCAATAGACACACGAGCCCGTGACACACTTCATTAAGCTAAAGTTGCTTTAGTGTCTATAGTATCCCTATACAAATGCTCAGCTGTAACTTGGGTCTGGTTACAAAACCTGGAAACAAGAAGCAGCCAGCAATGAAATTCTAACACGGGGTTCTAGATTCATGTACAGGGAGCACTTTTCAAGTAAATTTGTGGAAGAGAAAAATAATCTGTTCACAAAGGGATTCATTTACTAATTGGAATTGGAAACTCAGTTTTTAAACATCGGTAAGAAGAGCACAATGAAAAAAAAATCCCTAACTGTCGTTATATTTTCTATTTAGTGTGGGAGCTGTATATGAAATTTAGCCAGTCTTGGCTCAGTTGGTTAGTCTGAGGGCCTCCTTAGAGGGAATAACACCGGTTTGGTTACCTTAGAGGGAACACTGAGAATGATTTACTTTCTGAGTCCCT